CTCACAGAATGTGCACCTCTTTCTCAACAATAGTGCTAACATAGTCTACTGGACATAGGTCTTCCTATCAAATCCAAATTCCAGATTGCACAGTGAAGTATCTGAAGGATGAAAATTGGGTCTCAGGCAATATATGCATTTGCCACAGCCCAAGATTGCTGATCAATCCATAATCAAAAACCAGTGAGAAAGAAGTTACTGGTTCTTAGAAAGAAGCTTGAAAATAAAGTGGGAAATCTAGCTTGGGGAAAAAAACCTAATGATTTGGCAATTTTCTATACTATAGAATTTGATTGACATGTGAAAATTTTATTTTCTTTATTTAGATTACAGAAATGTAAACCTTTCCCTCAAATAAAAAGGTAAATGCTGGAAATAGAGATTACAAATACTAATGACACCACTAAAGCATGTATAGGGACACAGTCTACCATAAAGAATTCCATGAAAAGGCAAGTATGTACAGTAACAGGATGAGGAGCCTGCTCCAGTGAACTAGTGTGACACATGAGGTCATCTGACAGAATGCCATGGCCACATGGCATTAACTTGAACAATTGTTTTTAAGTTGTTGCTTGATAGCATGATCAATGGGGTGAATAGACACAGTAATACCCAACAGGTCAGAACAAGGCCAAATGTGATAGACCCAGGAAATTAGGAAGTCCTGTACTCAGGTAACATGTTGGTTGGCCAGAGGGGAGTGGTCAGGGATGAAACTCAGCAAGACGATCCACAGGAGAGTGGGTGACAGGAGGTGGTCTGACAGCAGACAAGACAGCAGCAACTAGCTTTACAGCAGCTGAGATGACAGCATCTGGACACAGAGCAGCTGGGACAACAGCTAGACATACAGCAGCTGGATGACAGCTAGACATACAGCAGCTGGATGACAGCTAGACATACAGCAACTGACACAGAGCAGCTGGGACAACAGCTAGACACACAGCATCTGGACACAGAGCAGCTAGAACAACTGCTAGACACACAGCAGCTGGATGACAGCCAGACACACAGCAACTGGACACAGAGCAGCTGGAACAACAGCTAGACAGACACACAGCAGCTAGAGTGGCAACAGCTAGACATACAGCAGCTGGGATGACAGCAGTTGAGGCAGCAGTAGCTGGACACACAACAGCTGGGTCTGCAGCAGCTGGACACACAGCAGCTGGGCTGGCAGCAGGTGATCTGGCAGCAGCTGGGCTGGCAGCAGCCTTGGCCATAGTCCTGCTCAGAGCAGACAGAGCCTCAGCAGGAGCTGACCATGATGATGGAGGCTGGAGGTTTGGTCTGAGTATCCAAGAAAGTGATTTTTCTGAACTTAGGAGTCTCTTTCATACCTTTTGTCCCCTGTCAAGATGTTAACAGATAAGAAGTTACAAAATTAGGTAATTATACACATTTTCTTTTAAATTTGGTGTTTCCAAATCAACTCCTGTCCCTTGTATGCATCATACAATTTTAAATCTGCAGCTTTCTTTCCCAATCAGTGGTGTGGAACCCAATGATTTGTGACTGGCTGTCACTATATTCCTTCCTCAGCCATGGCTCAGTCTAGCTAGGCAAATACTGCAAGATCCATGCGACAGGACACATGGCGAATGGGAAGGCAACAGCAGAGATTAATGGAAGTGAAATAATTCCCGCTGTAGAATGATGGAACACAGGCTTTCAAAAGGAAGAACATGGGTCTAAGAGCATTCTGGGGGTTAGGGAGTTGGGAAAGGAAATTCAACACAATATATGTTGCCACGTTTCCTTTCAATGTTAGCTTGTTGGATGGGGTGGGATCACCCTATGAATCAAAGGGGCATGCATAAAAGTTCATCTTTCTGAAATAACCAACCAACACAGAACATTCAGTAGCACAACACTGGCAGCCTGTATTTTTTTAAAAACACCCAAGTTGTTCTGGGAGATGCTTAGGAAAGGCAACAGCCTTCTCTTCTGATCCTATGACTATTAAATTCCACCAGTAAGAAATATATTCTAAATCCAAGTATGTCTGATGTCCCCTCTTCTCAAAAAGATGAAATAGGAGTTGGTCTGATAATCAGCTTTGCCCATCACAGACAAATGCTGACAGTTACTAGTGTTTGGTTACAAGTTCTGATAATCAAGCATCTCAGAAGCAGAAATCCAATAGCCTCAACTCCCTGCTGCCCTGGCCACAAGCCATGTGACTCCTCATTCTTTTTTTTTTTTTTTTTTTGGTTTTTCGAGACAGGGTTTCTCTGTGTAGCTTTGCGCCTTTCCTGGGACTCACTTGGTAGCCCAGGCTGGCCTCGAACTCACAGAGATCCGCTGACTCTGCCTCCCGAGTGCTGGGATTAAAGGCGTGCGCCACCACTGCCCGGCAACTCCTCATTCTTAATGGTTTTCCACTGGACCCACCCTTCAGCTCCACACGCTGGCATCACTGTCTACCACATCACTAGTCTACCTTTTGGTCCTCCACAGCTGCTATCATTACCAGAGGGGTCAGTTTCCCCCATTCGAGAACGTCTCAAGTGTTGTACTGGTCCTTCCCTTAAGATAACTTCAGTCTATCGGCTCTTTGTTTTGATCAAGTATCTGTTTTCTGATAGAAGAGGCTTCAGACAGACCAAGCAAAACTAGGGATGTAGCTTCGGGAGGTATTTTTTCACCTGGGTATAATCAAGCCTGAGTTTTAACAGATTCTGCCGGATCTAAGACTATCCCAAAAGTACACACTCAGAGCACGACTTTCAAATGCAGCCTAAGTTCTTTCTTCTGGCAAATTTTAAATTGTTATTATATTTTATTTATTTTTCTGTGTGCATGTTTGTGTAAGGGGTGCACACATGTGTCACTGTGTGTGTATGTGTGTGTGTGTGTGTGTGTGTGTGTATGTGTGTGTGTGTGTGTGTGTGTGTGTGTGTAGGTCAGAGGACAATTTGTGGGAGTCAGTCATCTCCTTCCTCCCTTCCACTACATGGGTCCCAGGTTTGGCAGCAAGCACCTTAACCCACCTGAGCCATCTTGCTGGTCCATTCATGCAACTTTTTTCTTGCCTGTTTTTTAAGCTCTTCCCTCAACCCCTCCTGGAGTTATCTCTAGTGTCAATGCACTCCACCTCTGACAGAGAGCTTCCTCAGCTGCTCATGATTTATTTTAGCACAGTGTCTTTAGTGTGAAGGCAATTGGGGAGTGAGCAGCGTAGTCCATTTTCTGCCATATCTGCCCCCATGGCCACTGATCTCTTGCCTCATTTTTCTCCTTTCATTTATAACAATGTAAACAATCCCTGGCTGCATCCTCCTTCTCCCCTCCTGCTCCTCCTCTTTCTCCCTTCCTCCCCCTGCTCCTCCTCCTCTCCTCCTCCTTGTGCTCCTCCTTCCCTCTCCCTCCCCTCCTCCCCTCTTTCTGCTCCTCCTCCTGCTCCTTCTCCCCTCTATCTCCCCTCCCTTCCCTTCTTTTTCTTTCTCTTTTCATCCTGAGTTTATGACTTGTATACTTCCCTAGCATTCACTAGGTTTTAACTCGCTATGTATATATTTAACCCTTCCATATTGTCCTTCTCTGGAACAGAAGTTTTCCCCATTATATTCTATCTATTTGGGTCCTTCCTTTTATTCCTAAGCCTTATTTCAAAGACTAGTCTGTGAGTTTCTTGTTGGAAACTATTGGTCTTCACATGTCTTAATATCCTCAGAGTTCAATGGCCCTGTGAACCTGCCAATCATCTTATGGATTGAAAAGGAAAATTATTGTTAATTAAATGAGGTAGGTCATGTTATTTTGAAATATAGTTCTTTTTTACCATATGGATGGTAGGTTATATGCGCAAAATCTGCTTTCTTTTCCGCTTTTGAGTTGACATATAAAATTGTATGCATTTATGGGGTACTATGTGATGTTTTTATGTGTGTATGCATGACACACTGTTTAAATATGGGTTAATATTTTTACATGCTCAAATCTATATCATTTCTTGCTGGTGAAAATACTCAATGTCCTTTGTTCTAGCTGTTTTGAAATATAAACTATTTATTATTTGTAGCAACTTTCCTATGCAATTAAACACTCTATTTCATTTTTAAAGTTCTATTTGTTTATTTATTTTATGTATGTGGTGTTTCGTTTACATGTTTGTCTGTGTACCATGTACATGCCTGGTGCCTGTGGAGGCCATAAGAGAGTGATGGACTTAACCACTGAATCATCTCTCCAGTTCTAGAACGATCTCTTTTATCTAATTGTTTTACAGATGTTAGTCAGGTAGTCTTCCCTTGTGTCCCTCTATTTTCCCCAGAATCTCAGGCCACTTTTCTACTCTCTGCTTCTATGGGACCATTTTTTTTTTTTTTTTTTTTTTTTAGATTCCACATTTGAATGACATCATGTGTATTTTCTTTCTGTATCTGGCTGATTTCACTTACATAACCTCTTCCAATTCTAGCCATGTTGTCACAAATTACAAGACTCCACCTGTTTTATGAGTAAACAGCATTCCATTATGTATAAGGCATTTTATTTACCACTCATCGGTTGATGGACACAGGCTAATTCTGCTTCCCAGACAATGTGAATAATGCTGCAATAAATGTGGAACTACGCATACCTCTAACATACTAGCAAAACTAGTTTTCTTCCTGGTCATAGTAACTCAAACATCTTCTCACGTTGTAAGGAAAAATACCAGAAAATAAAACTGTTAATTTTCTAAAAATAAATGAAAAAAGATGCATATATTTCTAATATAAGGCAATATTTATTGAAGAATAGTTAAACACAGAATGGTGAAGTCCAAGGAAGTTGGAGACTCGAAGGATATGTTTAGCTGCACCATGCATCTGAGATACGCATGTAGAGAGGAGATCCTTGGGAAATATGGGCGGTACTTAGTAGGATTCTCTTCTGCCGGTTTCTTTCTGTTGTCAGGACAACAAAAGTAGGAATCATTTAATACACGGATGAGAAGTTCAGCTCACTGTGATTATGGCTGCCTCAGGGTTGGTAGTCAGACAGAAAATTCAACAAGAGGGGCGGCAGCAAGTTGTACCACAGCAGGTGGTCTGACAGACTGGGCGGCAGCAGCTGGACACTCCGCAGCTGGGGCGGCAGGTGGTCTGGCAGCAGATTGGGCGGCAGCAGCTGGACACTCCGCAGCTGGGGCGGCAGGTGGTCTGGCAGCAGATTGGGCGGCAGCAGCTGGACACTCCACAGCTGGGGCGGCAGGTGGTCTGACAGACTGGGCGGCAGCAGCTGGACACTCCACAGCTGGACACTCCACAGCTGGGGCGGCAAGTGGTCTGGCAGCAGACTGGGCGGCAGCAGCTGGACACTCCACAGCTGGGGCGGCAGGTGGTCTGACAGACTGGGCGGCAGCAGCTGGACACTCCACAGCTGGACACTCCACAGCTGGGGCGGCAGGTGGTCTGGCAGCAGACTGGGCGGCAGCAGCTGGACACTCCACAGCTGGGGCGGCAGCAGCTGGACACTCCACAGCTGGGGCGGCAGGTGGTCTGACAGACTGGGCGACAGCAGCTGGACACTCCACAGCTGGACACTCCACAGCTGGGGCGGCAGCAGCTGGACACTCCACAGCTGGGGCGGCAGGTGGTTTGGCAGCAGCTGGACACTCCACAGCTGGGGCGGCAGGTGGTTTGGCAGCAGCTGAACACTCCACAGCTAGGGCGGCAGGTGGTCTGGCAGCAGACTGGGCGACAGCAGGTGGTCTGGCAGCAGCTGGGCTGGCAGCAGCTCTCCTGGCAGGGACTTTGATCACAGCCCTGCTCAGAGCAGACAGAGCCACAACAGGAGTTAACCATGGTGTCAGAGGAGGAGGTTCTGAGTGGGTTTTGAAGAGAGTGAGTTTCTCAAATATGTGAGTCTCCTTAGTCCCTGTCCTCTTTTATACCCTGATGCTGTTCAGGTTAAAGGTCATTTCCTTGTTATTGTTTCTCTTAATATATAAACAGTTACAAAATTAGTTAATTGTGGAAGACTCTATGCAAAAGTTAGATGGAATGCATTCTTCTTTCTCAGGGTCAGGGTTTATCAAATCAGTCTTTCCTCCTTAGTCACCTCTTCTGTGACTTATGTGTACCCTTAGTCACCTCTTCTGTGACTTATGTGTACCCTTAGTCACCTCTTCTGTGACTTATGTGTACCCTTAGTCACCTCTTCTGTGACTTATGTGTACCATCAAACTTCAAAACTTCGTATTCTGACCCAGCTGATTGATGGTCATGAGATGACGTGGCATACGAAATCCAACATCCCATGTGTCATCACGAGGCCTCATGCCAGTCGCACAGTGGGTCTGGGTTTCTTATGTCCTAAAGACTCTTGAAAAGTAAACTCTAAAAGTACTAGAAGAAAGCTTGGATTTTGAAGTTTGGATTAAGATAATGTGAAGATAAAATGAATTTGTGACATGGGCATGAGACCATCCCGTGTTGATATTCCTCAAGAAGGGAATTCGGAATGTCAACAAATGTGGGAAGAAACACTGGAATGCCTGGGATGTTCCTCAATTTCTAGAGAACAGTTGGGTAAATGATCTTCACATATCTCAGATGTTTTTAAGAAGACAAGTAACATTGTTGCATTTTATACAGCCTTGAAGATGCTCGGCTGTGAAGCAGGCTTCTCTGCTGAACTGTAAACTCATAACTGTATTATTGTACTGTACTGCTTGCATTATTTAATTGTACTATATCATTGATTTGTATTATTACAAAGGAGCTGTAATAATAAAAAAAATGAGGCTTTTTGTGCAAATTGCACTCAAGTCCTTAGCTTGAGTCCCTAGTTTCTCCATTCAGTTCCTACGGCATTTCTTGATAGTGCTGTCTAATTTCATTGTATTAGGGTAGAAGAAAAACTGCATGTTATTCCTACTGTTGAGATCTTCATTTTAGTCCAATGTCATTTATACAATGTCTAAATATATATGAAAACTATGGAAATGAAATTTGTTAAGCATAAGATGGGATCGATGGTAGATAAATAGATACTGCACCTAAGTTGATAGTGATTTCATTTAAATTTCCTGCATCTGTATTCTTTATCTTGAAATGATCATTTGAAAAAAACTTTATGAAAGTCTGAGTCTAGATTTTATAATTTTTCCCATGTATTTATGATAGTTATTTTTAAGATAGGCTAAGTGCTTATGAAAACAGGAGAGCTGACCTTTTGGAAATGTGAAAATGTATTGCAAGGAAGTCATTACTAAGGTCAAGGCAGGTACATGGATGCTGATTTGATCTAACTGAACCAAATGTCATGGTCACTTATTTCTTTGGAAAGAACCAGCCCTCCCTGTGCAAAGGAAGAAAAAGGATATGGGGAAATATCTCTTTCACCTTTTGGGTAATAATTTCTTTTATTAAAACATAAATATTCACCTGCCATCTAATTATCTGTCAGTTTGTCTTGGCTTCTACAGATGTGTGTAAATACAAGATAAAATTTTAGACTTAATATTTCAATCTACCTACTGTGATGTGGATATTATATGCAAGTTATTTTCTTTGTCCGTGTGACAGCAACCCAAACTTTTCTCCAAATAAATTGATCATCAGATATGATTAATGACCACAAGTATTTACGATATTAAGAGAGTAGGTATTTATTTGGACACAGTCACTCTATCACACATGATTCTTTAAAAAGTCCAAGGCATGCCCGGGATGGTAATATGACAACAGACTTGGTCAATAAAGTCACATGAAATCTCTGGTCATCTGTCAGAATGCCACAGTAATAGACAGGGAATTTATTGCTTATGTGTTTTACAGTTTAAATAATTGCTTGCAAAAATTAATTCTTAGTCCAGGTATGGTGTCACATTCCTATGTTAACACTTAGGAAGTGGAGGCAGGAAGATCAGGAGTTCACAGCCAGCCTCAGCTAAGTAGAGAGTTTAAGGCTAGCCTAGGATACATGAGACACCGTCTCCATGAACAAAAACAGAATAAAATAAAAGAGCTTTTTTTATTTTATTGAGTGATAGATACAGTGATGGCTCAGTACAAGCACAGGTGTAGTGGAGAAAACGTGAGGCTGGCACACCGGCAACATAATAGTTACCCAGGACTGATGGCAGCAGCAACCATAAATAGGGTAACAGCAAGCAGTCTAACAACAGGTGTTCTGCCAGTAAGAGGGGTGACACAGAATTCCTAGCAGAGGCTTTAGCCACACACAGTGCTAGTCAAAGTAGATGAAGCTACAAGAGATGACTGTGGTGTCCTGGATGGAGGTTCTGGGTGGCTCTCTAAGGACATGAGATTCTTCAGTACAGAGATCTGCATCCTGCTACTAAGCTAGCATTGATGTTTGTAATTGCTTTCTGACTATGACCTTTCCAGACATTCTGGTCTTGACATAGCTGTCTATGCAATTATATTTGCTCTTTAAAGGGATGTTCTCGTGATTTTCATTGAATCAGCTCCTCATCTCTAGAAGCATGAGGCCCTTTTAAATTGCAGCATATCCTTTCACCCAGTGCCTCGTGTTCTTTTGGGGGGTGTCTCATTGCTATATTGAGCATAGGATGAACTGTTCCTCTGCCTCTAACCATTTAACTCTCTGTTCCTGAGTGAGACAGAAAACCATAATCTCTCCAGTTTGGATGATATTTAAAAGAGATGAAAATATGGATACATCATACACATAAGTCAGACCTCAGTATATAATAGCAAAATGACTGGTACAAAAAAATCACCATGGTACAGTCATAAATTATGAAAAAATTAAGAAATAAGACTGGTGGAAGGCACATTGTTTCAAATTGAACATTCAAAATAAAAGCATTCATTTTATTTCTTTTCCATACCAATTTTCGATCCACCGGTCCTATTACAAATTACAGTTAGTGCAACTTTTCAAACTAATAAACCTTAAATTCTCCTTTATTCTATGCTGGAAAACAGTACATGGAAGACCTAATAGAGAAGATCAAAAGTGATGAGAAACTTGTCTCCTCTCAGAAGCCCCACCCCCATGAAAGTCGCCAGGACCCATACCTGCTGCTCCCCTGACTGCCAACCCAACTACTGCAGGGCTTCCTGCTATGGGACCTCCACTAGAGACCAGCCTGTGTGGCCAGAGGCTGCCTCACACCCCGTGGTCAGGCTCCCTGCCTCCACCCTAGATGCTTCTGTAGCTCTTGATGGCTGAGCAACCACTGCCAACCTTCCCTCTGGCTTCAGCCTTCAACTGCTGCGAACCATTCATGTTCCCACAGCAAACGTGCTCCCTTAGCTTTGCTGAGAACAAGTTCCTCACATTGAACCATGCTTTCATTTCGTTCCACAGTATCTGAAAGACCACTGAGAGCCCCGCTCAGCTTCACCCTGGTTTTATTCTTTACGGTCCATTGATCAGCCGAACAAATACTAGTCTGCTCCATGATCTGCTCCGTGATCTTTCTCCCTGAGAAAGTAGTGATCAACTTTTGTCTCTAGGGAACTTTAAAATGGGCTGCATTTGACTCTAGAATAATCAATTTCAGTCTTTTTAGTATACATGCGGTATAGTCTGCCAAGTTCCTAAACTTTTTCCAAATCATTGTAATTGTTTTCCTAACTAGTCTTTCCTATTAAAATGCATATTATCTTGTACTGTGTGGTAAACTTTTTGCTTTGTTATCTATTCACAGCAGTTCATTCATAAATACTTACTTTTAAAATTTATTATTTTTGTATGTTACTTGGCCTTTTTCCTTTGCGTCTCTTAATATTTTTTTCTTTATTCTGTATGTTTAGTGGTTTGATTATTATGTGGTGAGGGGACTTTTTTTTGGATCCAGCTTTTTGGGGCCCACTGCTTATGGTAAGCCAACTTACACAGCCTTGGTGCAGGGGGAGGGGCTTGGACATGCCTCAGCTGAGTTTCTCCCTTCTCCCCTCTCCCCTGTCCCCTCCCATTGGTTATCTTTGTTCCCCTAGACTATTTCAGGTCATGATTTATGACTATATAAAGTCTAGGAACCACAAGTTAGAGAAAACATATAATATTTTTTCTTTCTGAAACTGTCTTAAATTACTTGCTATGATTATCTACAGTTAAATCTTTTTTTTTGGCAAAGGATATAGCTTCACTTTCCTTTACAGCTGAAAATAACTGCATTGCGTACATAGTCCACATTTTCCTTATCCATTTCTCTGTTGGTGGACAGCTATGATTGGGTCTGTAACTCAGTCCTGCACGAACTCTGATGTGCAAGCGTCTCTGTGGCCCATGGACCTGATGTCTGGAAGATATATACTCAGGGGCGGCACAGCTGGGTCACATGGTAGATCTTGTTAGTTGAATTTTATATTTATGAGTGTACTGCAGTCTCAGAACGATACTGCAAATTAAGCTGAGGAAACCCTGTCGTTCTCATTTTAACGATGGAAGAACCATTTTCTATGCATCCAGTAACTGACAGAACAGATCCAGTGTTGCAATCCTTTTACTCCAGGTCAAGAGCACTTTTAAAAAAGTATTTTCTACAAATAGATACATAACCCTTGTAAAGGGAGCAGAGAACAGATATGTGTTTTGTGTACTATCCCTCAGAGTTTAACTAGACTAAGTGACCGTATGTGGGACTAAGCGGGTGGATTCACCGGTGGGTATGCAAATGAATACTCTTGGAATCCCTTGGTGGTCAATAGATCAGTAGTAAATGACGGGGCTCACGAGTCCCTTCCCCTTTCACAGCTGAGTTTTTGGAAGGTCAACTCTTGTGCACGCAGTACCAGCATGCACAGCTGCTGCTCCTCATGGTTGTCATAGCTGTGTCACCAAACAAAACCCAAACCAGTAGATA